GGGGGGGGGGGGGGGGGGGGGGGGGGGGGGGGGGGGGGGGGAGGGATAGGTTAGGGTAGATTAAAGGGGGAGGGGTTACTGCCTAGATTGTCGATAACCGAAAAACTGCGTAGACTGTCGATAACCACACAAATTTCCTAAACTGTCGAAACCGCCGATACCTCTGCGTGGCCACTGGAACCCTCCGATCTGTCGGTCCCGCCAGTATGCACTAGTCCGTCGGGGTGCCATGGTCGAGCCTGGGTACAGCTAGCATGTTTCCCGTAACTATGGCACCGTTACGAGAGTCCACACAGAGCGAACTTGAGACTACGGTAGGGACCATCTCGGGGGAGATAATCCTACGCACACACTGGGTGCAGGTGGTGCTTCATCCAGGTTGGGGTCCGTGGGGATTCTCGTTGGGGGAATTAGTCGGGAGTGTGGATTCTTGGGGAGCCTGGGGTGGGAAGGCATCATGCTTAGGATAGGGGAGGGCGGAATATCGCATCTTAGTGGACGGGCAGTTCCCTGCCCATAGAGTCGGCAGGACGAGGCACAGATGAAGGATGACTGCATATGCATGGACCCCACCTGCGCCCGGGTCGTCCTTAACATTAGAGTTAGGAAGGGTAGTGTCTGCACGAAGACGTTTGGGTTCGTCCGGTAAGCGTTGGCGCAGATCGCGACTTGCAATCTGAGCATTAGCATACGTCATGGTACAATAATGCCATCCTGAGGTGACTCCCCCTGGGGCGTCGCAACCCCTCTGATCCCCCAATGGATGAGTACTACGGGCACCTCCTGAGGCCTGGCCGCCACCCTCTACGGGCTAGTTTTCTTTGCAGGATTGCAGTAGGCAGATACTAGCCAAGGTTGGATTGACATGCAAACAATTGATGATTGGCAAGCGACCTCAGGGACTTCCCTGAACGCCCCCCCCCTGCACCACGCCCCTCAGGCCCTACTGTGTGTCTGGGTGCGGCTAGTAAACCCTCCCAGCCAGTAGGGCAATCCACCGTGGAGGGGCAAAGGTTTGTTGGTGGGGGGGGGGAGGGGGGTAAAGGGGGGATGTTGCACAGAAACTGCCCCCACTTGCTCAGGTGGCTAGTGCCACAAGGGTTAGGCTGACCCCCCTCCTATCTTCATTTCGGACCCACTGTGTTTGTACAAATATGCTCGCCGGGGATAAGTAACCGGACTGTTGGCCCCCAGAGTAGGAGGGGCCTGTGTGTCTTGGGGGCAAAAACAAAAAAAAAGTACTAGTCATAGGCTGTTTTTTTTTTTTGTTTGTTTAAAGGAAGGAAAACGTAAAAAAGAAGGAATGAAAACGTAAAAAAGAAGGAATGAAAACGTAAAAAAGAAGGAATGAAAACGTAAAAAAGAAGGAACGAAAACGTAAAAGACGTGAAGTTGACGATGTTTCGGGCGACAGGTTTCAGTCGCCTACCGTCTTCGCTGGAGTAGAATGCATCGTACAGTTAAAAATGTGTCGCTGTATCTGGACTGAAAGTTGCCGACTACAGCATAATGACCGGGTGTTCTGTTTTTTTTTTTTTTTCCTCTGGCCCAGAAAAATTAATTTAATATCGTGTGGTCCGATGGACCACGGATCAGATATTGAACTGATCAGAACAGATACTACACTTGATTAAGCATAATGACCGGGTGTTCTATTCGGATTAAGATGGTAGTTTGGCAGCAGGAACGGATGAGGATAGGGGTTTCCTAAAGTGGAGGGAAAGGGGAGAGGCAGCTCTTGATCCTGCACCTTAAACCTCTAAACCTGAAACCCTAAATCCAGCACGTGAAAGCTGCAACCCCTTAAACCCTGATCCCTAAACCCCTTAGACCCTAAACCCTAAACCATACAAACGAAACCTGAACCCTAAACTCTGAACTCTGAACCTAAGGTCCAGCCTAAACCCCTAAACCTCTAAACCCCTAAACCCCTAAACCCTTCAACTCCCTAAACCCCTAAACCCCTAAACCCTTAAAACCCCAACCCCCTAACCCCCTAAACCCTTAAACCCCTCAACCCTGAACCAAAGGTTCAGCCTAAACCCCTAAATTCTGAACTCTGAACCTTCCGCCTGGAGCCTTAACCCTTCTTCTCTAAACCCTAAACCTGAAATCCAAAACCCTGGACCTGAAACCCTCCTAAGGTTCAGCCTAAACCCCTAACCCCCTAAACCCTACACCGTGAACCTGAAACCCCAAACCCTGAGCCTAAATTTCAAACAAAACGCCCTAAGAACTGATCCGCAAACCTTCAACCCTACACCCTAAACCTTTAACCACACCCTAAACATCCTAAACCCTAGACACATGGAATTCTCAACCCTACTTGCTAAACCCTAACCCCCTTAAGCACACCCTTCATCCTAAGTCCTAAACGCTGAACCCCCTGAGTCTTACACCTGCAATCCTAAGCCGTACAAGCTAAACCAGGAACTCCCATCCCATACCCTAAACCTGACACCTCAAACCCTAAACCCTAAACCCTAAACCCCAAATTCAAACCCTAAACCCTAAACCCTAAACCCCAAACTGTAATCCCTGATCTCTAAATCTGAAATCTGAAACCGTAAACTGCCTTTCAAGTCAGTTTGCATACATTGTCTTAGAATCGAGAAATGAGTCAAATGACGCAAAAAAAAATAATGAAAATGAGATATCTCACACACCCTTGAGCAGCAGTTCGTGCATAAGTTTCAATCGTGGCCGTCATCTTGAAACTCTGGGTGTCTATTTGGCCTTCAAGTTGCCAACTGTGCGGTGCTGCTATTTGGCTTTTGGCTTTTTGGCTATTTCAGTTTATTTGACTATTTCAGTCTATTTGACTCTTTGACTATTGATTATTTCGCGTTGTGTAATATCAGGTTATAGGTCAGTTGAAAAAAAAAAAAAAAAAAAAAAAAAAAAGGGTTAACAACTTTACAGTACTTTATACTACTTTGTAGGTCACTTGAAGTGTGCTGTCACCGTGTGTGGGTTGTCAACGGCCTACCTACCATCCTTCCCCCCCCCCCGGCGGAACACGCTTCACCCTGATGATGACTGTATGGGACTGGAAAGATAGCTTGTATACATTCAATAACTGGCATGCGTTTTGTTCGGAATAAGACAGAGGGGTCTCAACTCTGCGACTGTTTTCGATATCGTGAATGGTCGGCTCGACGGAGAATGCAGGGTCTGACGTCAGATTATCGGCGGACTTGAAAATGTGTTCCAGGGCCAGTGGCTGTCGAAGTCTCGATCGGCGGCTCCCTGTGGACTCGTGACGACATCGTGTACACCTACATCTCCCGCCGTCCACCTCTGGACGAGCCGATTGCTGTCCGATCGCTCAGCTGTGCCTCAATTGCCACCATCCAGGAGCTCGAACGCAGCGCGATGCGTCATCAAAGAGGCTTTTGAACATCTGCTGTGGTGCCAATCTACCCTGTGGGCTGGGGAGCGACCCGGGTTGGTTGGTGTTCCCCCGTACTATACGTAGACCAGCGAGAGGATGACAGAAATGTGTACTAGCAAGAAGATGAGATAGATGAGAGAAGAATATAAAAAAATTTAAAAAAGAGGCTTTCCCTTGTTGCCACAACAACCGCTGCGTCACTGTCGTTGTTGTTGTTGTTGTTGTCAACAAAATGTGCTTCTTGTTGTCAGCGGTGATTTTTTTCTCCGCAGCATGACCAGCTGTTGTGTGTGCGTGTCATCGCGGGACATGCATTTGCAGTTCTTGTTGTTGTCAGCGAAATTTTCTGGGGCATGGTTTTTGGTCGTGGAGTGGGTTCTTGCTCAAGATTTTCTGTGGTTTCCGCAGCGTAAACCGTTATCGTGACTGTCAATGTATGTGGACATAGATCTGTGCTTAATACAGGCATTGTAATGTATGCGCCCAGGCAGCTGTATCTCTTATCTTTCGAGAAAATCTAATGGACTACCGAATAGCGTTTTTTTTTTGTTTTTGACTTGCGCAGGGACCGTGCTAATCATCTCCTGTATCATATGCAAAAAATTCTTTAGTTTCTCTTCTGTAAAGCTTTTCTTTTTCAGTCAAACTCTCTCAGTTCTTTAGGATTCAAACTTGGACTTCTCTTGGGCATCTCTCTCTCTCTCTCTCTCTCTCTCTCCCTCTCTCTCTCTCTCTCTCTCTCTCTCTCTCTGG